AGCGAGGAATAGTCCAAAGGAACCAGGAGCACACGCGTCAGGCGTGTGTGGGGATGACCTTGATCAACACTTAGATTGGTTCACGTTGGTACTGCGAAGAATGGCACTTTCTTTAGCTTTTGCTCGTCCAGACTCCACCGATGTCAGTTGTGTGAGAAATTTGTCCACAAAGACAGATTTTGTTAGACCCGGGCCGGTTTCAAGCTGCCCATGAAACCGATGCAGCGATCGAGATGTCCTACTCGAGCCCTTCATTTCCGTAGCCTTCTAGCTACATTCACATTGGATGTCGCTTCTCGTCGGTAATTTGTTTCTGTAAACATCGACAACCATCCTGTCTACCTTCAACTAGACACCGCATCCGACATCACAATAGTTTCTAAGGAGCTGTGGAGTTCCATGGGTATCCCACCTTTTCAAGCTACCTCTCAGGAAACAACCAGTGTCTGTGGTGGTTCGGTTCGACTTACCGGTTGGCTTTCTTACTCCGCCTTCTACGGAGATAATACAATCAACTATATTTGGTATATTTCAAAATCCAATCTCATTCTCCTTGGTCTGGATTGGATTGACAAACTGGGTCTTTCCGCCCTCCCACTAAACCCCAACTACCTCCGACTTCATGCCTCATCGGCGAAGTCCAGTGTCCATGATTTCCCCACGGACTTTCGTGGGGGTCTTGGCTGTTGCACACAGACTCAGCAACTCTCCGGTTAAAGCCTGGTTGTGTTCCGTAGTTTCGATCAAAGCGACCAGTACCCTATGCTATGCCCTTGTTTGTAGCTCAAGAACTACGCCACCTCGAAGAACTGGGCATTCTATCCTCAATGTCTTATTCTCCATGTGCAGTGCCAATTGTGCTTGTAAAAAAGCCACATGGTTCAGTTCGCCTATGTGATAATTTTTCTACCGGGTTAACTGCTTCTTTGAGGACCATTGTCATCCGCTACCAATTCCTGAGGATAACTTTACTATGCTTAACGAGGGAACTTGTTTCGTCAAGGTGGATTTAGCTGACGCTTATCTGCAATTCGAAGTATCACCAGAGTTTCGAGAGCTGTTAACCAAAAACACACATCGCGGTTTGTTTCAGTACAACCGTTTACTTTTCGGCGTCAAGTCTGCTCCTGCTATTTTTCAACAGATAACTGATTCCATGATCTCTAGTGTAACCGGCGTAGAAGCGTACCTGGATGATATGATTATAATGGATCGCACCACTGATGAGATGCACGGAAGGACATCGGAAGTTTTCGTCTAGTTGAGGAATATGAATTCCGGTTGCAACCGGACAAATGCCAGTATTACCTCTAAAAAACCAAATACCTTGGTTTCGTCATCGAGAAAATTGATCGCCCCCCCCTGACCCCCAACATGTGCGTGTAATTCGGGAAATGCCCGCTCCAAAGGATGTATCATCCCTACGGTCGTTCCACGAGATAGTGCCTCATTACGGCACGTTCTTGCCCTCCACAATGGCATAACATCATTAAATAAACTGCTTAAAAGGACAGCGTTTGGTCCTAGCCCCCAGAATGTGAATGCACATTCAACCATCTAAAAGCAATGTCAGGTTCCGAGATGCTCCTACCAAATTTTGATCCCAAGCCACCGGTTGTAGTCGCTGCAGTCGCCTCCAGCTACTGCGTCGGTGTCGTCGTCTCCAATGTATTTCCAGATGGGATTTTCCAGACGGGATTTTATACTGAGGTACATCACCAAACCTGACGCATACGGGACAGGGAAAATTGTAGAATTATACACACGAGTTCCAGACTCTTATGGGACAAATGGAAGTTGCACTGCTACCTGTGCTATTCCGTATCGTGTACAGCAGGGCATGAAGTCCAAAATAAAATGTTTAGAACTTACTTGGATGCGCCTTTGGTGTTGGACATCTCATAGGAAGCATTTGTCGGGGAACACATCTACATTCCCAAATACATAGATCAGTCATTTACGTCAATCATTTAACGGATCCCAACTTAATATCTTGGACGGATTTCCCTTATGACCTGAACAACTGGGCTGAAGTTTACTTCTCACTAGGAGAACATTGCCGAAGTCGTCTTAATTTTCCTAGCATTATATTGAAATATTTGTGATGCCCACCTTACCAGTGGATGGATGTAGTCCTGTGGAGATGGAATATCCCATTCTTCATTGTTCAATCTTCTGGCGAAAATTCTCATTCCAAGCATTTCCTTTGGGGTTCCGTGAGAGCATATTTGCTCCTGAGGAATTCAGGAAACGAGCCACAGAACTCCACCCTGAAATCCTCATCCTTACTGAACCTAATTGTACTTGTTGTGGATTTCCGCGCAGGAATTTCTGAAAGCAAGAAATTCTTTACCCGAACCGCAGCTCTCCATACATTCTGGTTGTCCCACAAAGTAGCTACACATCCCATCCCGAACACGTGTAATTCTTCTGCCAGTTCAGTTCACAGCCGTGTGATTCCTGTAGAACAGTATTCAGCCTATCACTGCTGCCCTTCAAATCAGTTTCCGTCTTCACTGAATGGCCCGTACTCGGCGCATTCCCACTCTGTTAAAAGACCTACTGTACCACACGATGTGTCTCGCCCTATCCAGAACAAGCACTTGCTTCCATTTATTTCACATACCGTTTCTGACCCTCCAACTAACAATGATGGAACAATTTTTGACTTCTCTGATCACCGTTTGATCCGTAATGTACATCAGCCTACCCCCCTGACTATCCAATAATAGGCGTGTCTCACATCACCGAGGATAAACGTAATTCATTTTCATTTTATTTACTTATGAGGGATGCATCGTTAAGTCTAGTGGTGCTAAAACATACATCTGCACCATTGAACTCCCTACACTAATCGCCTAAAAATGAAAACATTCCACTGAGATTCGCTCGAGTTAAGTCACCCGGAAAACAACCATCTCTTCAGAGAAGGACCGCAGGTCGATCGCTTTCTGACCAAACGTGTCAGCATCACGTCTTTCTTTTGTACAGAAGCTGAAGCATTCTTACATTCTTGGGACAATAATTTTCACTGGTACTTACAACCACCCAGTTGGTTGCCTGATTGCAAATCCCCATCACTTGAGCTCTCCCAGTTGGTCGTTTGCTACGCTGCTCTCCAATCTTTGTAGTTCTCCCCACTACACATTGGGTTTGGCTGCTCTTGCTGGCTTTGGCAATTGTCACGTCTGTTGTGTGACATCGTTTACGGCTAGTATCTGTATAGCCCTCCACTGAACTTGATCTAAGGATTAAAATCTTACGGACTGGCGGCTTTGTTCGTTGAACTTCGGTAGCCGTGAGCGACCATCCCAACTGAATAACCGTTTGCATTGTTGTGCAAGCTACTTCCCCAAGTGACGCGTGCTTCTGCTGGAAGAAGACTAAGAGCGGGTCCAGGTATTAAGTATTCCCACGTTAAGTCGCTTTGCCACTAACGCCCAAGCACTTAAATACTGTAGACTGGCTCCTCTGTAGTGGAAGGACTCATTTGCGATTTGAAGAAACCAACAAATCACTAGCCAATCGGATAAAACAGTGAGCAAATATTTTCTACAGCGGGCTGAATAACGACAAAACACTAACACGGGCGTAATAAATGAAAAATAACAAGCGTGAAATAGCTGACAAATTGGAAAACATAGATCGTTTAGCCATTGTGCACCACGTTTACAAACGAGAAAACACTGAATAAAAAATAGAAAACGCTAAACTCGATGTCCACTTTCTTCATAGTTGCCTTAGTGAATGTCCTGGGAAATGGGACCAAGACAAGCAGATGTTGAATCACAAACGTTATAGAAACAGAAAGCAAGGTATCATTGGTAGGATTGCAGCGCATCAGGGGTACACATAAAATTCACTAAAAACTGATAGTAGTA